TATATATATATGGATATCATATAATCTTCATGCTATGAAAATGCATGTGTTATACGTAGAGCTTCCACGGTGTCCGTCCCAAACTAAAGACGTTACGAAAGCATACAAAAAGTAGGCTAACCTTGGCCCACTTTTATTAAAGCTTTGGAGAGCAGCGGGCTTATTCCTGTAAATGCAACGACACGCATACGTATGTATGTATGTATGCTGTGTATGACAGGCAAGCATATCTATTGTCGCGATATATAACGCGACATATAACGCGCAGCTGGCTGAAGATGTGTCCGTGTGTGTGCCGAGCACTTGCTCGCGATTTTCTTGGCCTGCTCGCCTTTCAAAAGTAATCTCCCTCTCGCGCATCGACTCGAGAAATAGACATGGAGGAAGTGAAAGATAGCTAGATAGAGAGAAAGGGGAAAGAAAGAGACGTGATCCTCGCGAAGTGATTCCTTTAAAATGTTCGCAATCCTTTTGGAAAGTGAAGTTTCGAGAGATTTAATGCTGACCACAAAACAGCTAACTTAGAACTTACTTATAGTTTAAGAAAAATACTTTCATAACAATTACGCTATTAAGAAGTCAGATAAAAATTAAAAAATCAAATAAGTAAGAAAGTATCAAACGGTCGAGGCTAGATGCTACCTAATAATATTTTTGTGTAAATAAATACATCTTTTATTTATAGCTACGCTTTAATTACTAGACTTGAAACGCTGATTCACAACTGAAATAATAATCTTAGAAATTAATTGATTGTTGATTTAAGAATAATGCATCTTAAAATCGTATAAAGAACTTGTTGGGAAAGATGTTACCTCAGCTAGAATTCAAAATTAGAAAAATTGAAAATTGATGATTACGCGAATTAGCAAAGTATCAATGTTATCGATGTAAGCACTATAACAATAATAGTACTACTACGCTGTTATAACAGCAGTCTAACGAAAGAGTAGATTTAAACGTACAAAAAAAAATTTTTTTTTCTTGTTCAAGTTATACTATTATTATTGTATATAAATTAACACTAAAATGTTTAAGCACGAAGATCCGCTTTGACCGAAAATAGGATTATTTTTTTTACTGATTTATATTCTCATTATATGAGATTATTATTATATGAAAATTTCATGGGGAATATAGATATTTATGGTTGAAATCTTTGGTAGCAATTCATACCGCTCATGACTGCTCAAGCAGTGGTCGCATTAAATTTCTTGGCATCGCATTATTCACGCATATTACACACGTAATCTGCCAGCATTTGAATCAGAAAGTGGCAAATGGAAGCTTGGACCGGCACGTTCGCACCTCCCAAGAAAACGCCTCGATTGGCGTCGCCTGAGACGGTTAGAAAGTGCAAAGTTATTTATAACCGTATCTACAATATTGATGATAATTAGACGTAAGTTTCACAATTAGTTTCGCCATGTAAGCAAATTCCTAATTAAGGTATAACTGATTCGTGTTTGACGTGACATCGCGCATATCAGCGTGCCGCTGAAAAACCACCGAGGGTATTATAGATCGGAAGTAATCGCATATAATCGATAGCAGGTCGATGTGATTTATATAATGACGCAGGTGCTACTGTTTTATTTATCTTTCAGAGTAAATGTTATGAGAAAACGTGAGTGAAGGTACTTGAGAGATTTACTCGCTCGTGCCCGAAATTAAAGCCTATTCTACAATGTGCTTCTTGCCTCTCGCTTCTTCCTCCCTTTGCAACCGTTTTATCGACAATCGTATTTCTTGCTACGTGTTCCTTCCGAAGTTCGTTAACTTTTATCTCGAGCGACATAAAATAAAAAAAAAAAAAAAAAAACCGGATAAGAAGCGAAAAAAAACAAGATGTAAAAAATAAGAAACAAAAAGCGAGAAACAGAAAATAAAAAGCACATTGTAGAATAGCCGTAAGACTTCCGTACAAGATACTTATCAAAAATCGTTACGAAAGTATAGTCGAAGGGAAACTTCAGTCAGTCGCACGAGTTGACGAGGAAAAAAACTAACGGGGTCTGCATGGCGAGTACGCATGAGCGCGCGTCCACCTCGTAATCGGAGTATGGCTACGTTCACCGTGCGATAAGGTGAAAGTCCACGGTGATAAGTACAAACGGCCACCTGCAGCACGATCTAACTGAGACGGCAAGTGGCCGAAGTGGCAACAATACGCGGAGATCGGCACTTGTCGTCGTCGCCGTGAAAGACCAGAGCTTATAAAGCGGGATAACTAATGATAGCCGGGTTAACCCACCGCGACATAAATAGGGCAAAATAACGATGCATCAAGTCCGAACTCACCTTCGAGTGGATTGAGATTTATGAGATCAGGATACGATAATGTTACGCAAGAAATCCTAACGCGAGTTCGGCTCTTCTCGCATCCGTTGTGAATTCACAGAACGAATCGAAAGAGCAACGGCGAGAAGTTGCCGAGAGCTTATTGCAAATAAGCTTCTTCTCTTTTTATTCGTAAAATAAATAATCTATATAAACGTTTGCCGTACTAATTTTGATTTGGCAGAGACACTGTGCTTGAAATATTCTGTAGTAAGACTTCTGTTTTGTAGCTCGTAACGAGACTTAGTGTCCGTATTGTTATATTATCATTGAGCAGCTTTTTTTACAACGTACGTACGCAACGATACTGTGATTAAGAGTTACAGAATAGCGGTCTGACTGGATTCTCTTTAGATTTTTTTTTTTTAAATTACTTGGATATATGTACGTACGTTGCGTGTTTTATTATAACTCTATTTACTGCGTGTAATTATATAATAAACCTCTCACATAGTAAAATTATGGAATATTTAAAGCAGTGCAGAAAGTTTTCTTATACTTTGTTCATTTTTACGTAACGTCTGTCGACGAATGACTTCATCTTTTGGTACATACTGTATATTTCTGTGAGTCCTTTTCTGTGAGATTGCATATATGTACAGAACGGGGAAATGTTTACGTGCGATTGCCCAACTCGAAGTAGTCAGGAGTGCCGGGGGAAAAGTACGGACGAGGATAAAATGATGATCTGCGCGTTCGTAGTGCGATTACAAAGATACTGTGCTCTCGAAAGGAATCGTCGGCCTGTGACGTTTTTACGACGGGGGTGGAGATAAAGCCGCAGTTCGCGAGGGAGTTGTAGATGTATCTTAACACGAAACGCGAGGAACGAATCGTCTCGAGGATCTGCGAATATATCGCAAGTGGCCGGCGATGCGCCGTCACGATCCTTCCTCCGGCTCGATCTGATCGGCTGAACGATCGCACAGCTCAGAATAAATTTGAGATAAAATCAAGGCGCGAGCTTCCTTCGTTGTTACCAGATAATGCGACGGGCGCACGCTCTCCGCTATCCGTCTCTCAATCCGTTCCCTTTCGCAGTCGGAAGCGATGTTTCACTCTCGCGTCCAGATTATGCTGGATAATTAGTCGGTCGTGTTCCCTGCGTGGATTTCAACGCGTACGCAACAATAGTGTAAATCCAGAGGATCGTTTACGTGCCACGCGTTTTGAATGACGAAACGTACAGCAGATCTGAGAACCTCTTTATCTGAGATAAAATGTATGAAATAATACCGTTCATATAACGGTTTACTCGATTCATCTTTGTCTTATTTGGAGCGCTGTATTGTATTAATTACGAAAATAAAGAAAACCTATATTCTATATATATATAGTATAAATTTTATTTTTGAGATAAAAGTATAAAATTATAGGAGTATCCTCGATTAGAAAATGATTTTTCCTTATAAACAACTCAATAAACATTCAATTAACAGTAACATAACGTAAATGTTAAAATTTCAACAATGTAAATGCAATGTAACTTCATGTGTTATACATAACAATTATATGTGAAAGTGTATCATTGATGTTATGTTATTTTTAGTGCTTACTGATGTATTGATAGACGCCGATACTGTTCGGATTATACAAGTTATTATAAAAATATTAAGTATAAGATTTTGTCAGCGATTTGATAACTTTATTCTATACCATGGTATTATCATTCATATTTATCATTTCCTTAACATGAGGATCGCATGACGTTCGTGTTACCGATCTTCCTGACATTTTCCGTGCATGAAGTATTTATCTACTTGATGTTTATACACTATACAAGTTAGAAAATGTCTATTATTTAAGTATCACGGAGAAATTTAATCATAAAGAAAGTTTATGTTTTTCATGTATATTTATTTAGTATTACATGTAAATAATGCATAAACGATGAATAAAATATTTGTTGTGCTCTTATGTCCATTTCTATTGAGGCAGTAGAGTAACTTTAATCTCGATTTACTTTTTATCTTGTTCTAGTTCTAAGAATCAGAAAAAGAGTGAGTTAAACCAAGATTACAGTTAATCTACATTGGTAGAGAAATGGACATTAAACTTTTTTCAATAATTTTGACTTATTCTTTGACTGAAAGTAATCTTTTATTATATTAGATTCTATACGTATCTTTCTGCATAGAAATGTTTGAAAGAGAAGTAATTTAAGTAAGGGATTTAAGACACAGAGCTCCAATTGGAAAGTCCAAAATACTTTATTTTGGCTATATATATCGATCTTTCCTTGTCATAAACTTTAAAAGTAAATTGAGGAGAAGCAAAGTCTATCGACAAGTAGGTGGGAATTGACGCAAAACTGGCCAAGGCAAACAACGCTGTTTATTGTCGTATTCGATATTGTATTCGACACGGCAATGCCTTTTTACTTCTTATCTGATGGTAGAGAGAAATAAAAGTAGAAATAAAACTGACTCGATTACTTCTACTCTGTTGAAGGAGTACATCGGCATATTCTTATTCCCGCGATGCATAACAGTGTATATTTCGCGAACTCCATTCTCTGTATTTTCATTCCGGCGTCTCGCGACTGCTCACGCTCGCTTTTAATCAATTTACGTGCTAGCTTAACGTTGCGTTTTTCCTCCTCGTTAGGATGTCAGTTTTATCCTGTCGGAGAGTACTTGAAATTCGTGCGGGTACCGGAGAATCTGGAAACAGGGACTGAAATTCTTTCGCTAGAGGCACATCCTAGAAATCGACTGTCCATTACGCCAGTCGACAAGGTACGTCATCATCTCAGCATACTAATCTTGTTTATCTGAAGCGACGCATAAAAAAAATAAATCTCGTACAGGAGGAAGACGCCGGCTTCTTCGCTTACAAGGAAACGAACGAGACGCACGTTTCTCTGATTTTGGCGCAATCCCTGGAGGATCTGGTGGATGCGGAGTCCCCGAGGAACTTATTAAAATTTCGAGTCTCCTGCGACTTCGGCTCTGGTGACTCACTGGTAAAGACATGAGATACTACATATCGTACGTTTCGTCGGTCGTCGACCTCGCAGTCATAGACAATCATGAGAAGAATAGACAGTAATAAGAAGAAAACTGCGCATTCCTATGAAATTGTCGCTATCAATTTTGAAAAAGTGAGAAGTTTGAATCGTATCACGCTGTCTCTTTCTAAAGTATCGAGTTGAGGAGAGGTGCTGATAGAGTCGCTAAAGAGATGCTGATTGTTCAATTCTTTCTAACGGAGCTAAGATCTAACAGATGCTGTATATAATGATCGTGGAATGCGCAGCCTTTTCATTACGTTGACGTTCGCAATGTATAATCGAAATAACGGTTCTCATCAGCAAAATACTTACTGTACAGAAGTAATAATTACTTGTTTTAAATATTTCAAAAGTTTATATATCCGCAAATCTATTGTGAGTTTATCATAAGTATAAAATTTATTCAAAACATATTCTGAATTTTATAATAGTGAGTTTAATACTTTAATCAAGATAATTAAATTAAAATAAATTCGACGTATTTATTATATAAATTGCTTCTTCACTTAAAAAAAAAAAGAATTCTTATTTCAGTACATAATAATGATTTTTTTTTTCAAATTTGTAATAAGTGTATTTTGAGATTATCATCAAGGAAATATTTTTTATTAAAGATAACCGTTACTTAAAAGGAAGATAGTAAATGAAGTCATTACTTTTCTTATCAATAGAATGATATTTCACGTGATAATTTAATCGTGTTTTACACGTATTACCGTAGATGTCGTTCGTTACTCTTTGAAAGATTGTTATAACGCGCGCGAATTTTTTGATTTCGGATTCGACCATTCGTGCAATTAGAGCGTGTGTGAACCGGTTTAATTGCGGGGGGGAAAAAAAACGAATGAACGGGGCGAATTTACCGGTTTCAAGCTCTTTTGCGCGTGGTAATGAGCGTTTATGTAACGACTCCCGCGCGCGGAATACCGAAGCGAGTAAGAGTTGTTAACGCACGCAGCTCTCGGCACACGCTTAAAACACCTCCCTAAATATTGATCCGGGATTTCGTTGTATTTTCACGTATTTTCGGACACCGAACGCTTTCATCTCGGCGCGCGAATTGACGGATGCAAATCGACGTTTCTCGCGGTCCACTTTTTAATAATTCAGCGCCCGATTTACTTGCTTTCGAAGATACTCGGCCGCGACGAGCGTAACGCGCGAGGAAACGAGCGGAAAGTGATGATCAATAGCGCGCCATAGATCTTGCCGTCTGACGTACACTATTTACCCGACTTGATTACCGATGATTACGGCTTTCGCGTGAACGGTCGCGCGCTAGATCCTTGCTTAACTCGCCGTCCACGTCGAATATTCACGCGCCTAAACGCCATTCCGCGGGTATAGCTCGCGGACCGCCAGAGTACCGTTTCCCAGGAAAACCATCGATCCTTTTTCATTTCCCAAACGCGATAATCACGTTTTATGATCCGCGCCGTAAAACGTGCCCTGAGACGTTGAATTGTGTCGACGCATAATTCAGCATGGATTAGAGATGGCGAGCGATGGTCGACCGACGAGGGGGGGTGCAGGAAACGATCGGGTGCAGCCACCGAGTGTGACTTATGTTCTGCCGTTTATGCTCAGGTATCGTCGCATTTGTCGGTGACGATCTACGTGGAGGATATAAACGATCACGCGCCACAATTTGTCGACGCGCCTTATCACGTGACGGTGGACGAGCTTACGCCAGTCGGTGAGATATTAGACCCACTAGCGATACTATAAATCGCTCTCCTGCCGCACCTGAATGTCATATAATTGATATCCTCGCTTTTGCATAAATATAGGTATATACGCGTAATCTATCGATCGCTGAAATAAAATGTTACTTGACGCTGTTACACGGTCCGCTGCACGTTCGCGAGCGGGGTTTTTAGAATCTGACATTTCATATTCTCCCCAGATATTTTCCCGAGACCGGACGTGCACAGTTTCGTCATATCAAATTCCATTTTTCCAAATTCTGTCGTGAATCGCGCAGTGAATTTTTCTCTCCTCGGATTTCCTCGCTTTTCTGTTCGATAAGTTGACGCGCGGCATAAAGATCCGAAATGAATTCGCAGGTGTGACGATATTTCGCGGGATTCACGCGCTGGATGGCGACAAGCCGAACACGCCGAACAGCGACGTTTATTACGCTATCGTGAAGGGAAACGAACAAGGGAAATTTTCTCTCGAGTCCGGGCACAGAACCGCCCTGATACTCCGGAAGCCAGTCGACTACGACAGCGGAGATCGCGAATTCACCTTGGTTATTACTGCGACTGTGAGTAATGACGTACCTGAAAATGTATAGTACAGTATTTCTTTTTGCTTTATAAAATTGTTCCGCTCAATATGAAAAGTTAAATGACTGTTGCGTTCTGCAACAGTCGACATTTGTAAGAAATTGCAACTCAGCGATGAATGACATACCGGATTGATTTGCAATAGTAATTCCTGACGTAACACATAATGCAATTCCTTAGGATCGTGGTGTCCCTGCCAGGAGCACGAACAGCACCGTAAAAATTACTGTGGTGGACAACGATGATCTTGATCCGAAATTCACGCGAGACATCTACAAGGCGAAAATTTATGAATTTTATCCTATGCCGGTACGATTATAAAAATTATTTTCTTGCATTTTTTTTTAATGCGCGAGGTGTTTTAGAAATTATCCAATCATCCTGAACGTATTTAAGCAAGATAATAAATATCTCATATAATCAGAATTAGATATAGTTATTTAATATTCAAAAATAAATTTGAATGAGATTTTATTTTACAGATTTAATTGTCAATATACCCAAAATTGAAAATTTAACTATTTAAAATTAACGAGTGTTCATGAATATTTTTTAAATTTGACCTTCAATGAAACATTTAATCCAGAAATAATCATCTGAAATGTTTTTTTTATCTTAACAGCAAAAAAAAATGTAAATTGTAAAATATTATTTTGTATGAATATTATTTAACATATTTACTTTCTTTTTAATAACGAAAGAGTATTTATGAAGCAAAAATAACATTTCTTAGACACTTTGCAAATTTTTAATAATACTTTTTAATACAATATTTTTAAATTCCGGAGTGTAATGTTATTTTCTTTTGCAGGAATATCCAATTTTTACAGAGATAAACTTTACCAATCCGATCCACGCGGCCGATCGCGATCGAGATATAAATGTGCCAGTACGATACGATATAATATCCGGCAATGAGAGGGGTTTCTTCCATCTTGATCCGAAAAATGGATCGCTGTTTCTGAAACGTGCGATTGATCTCGACGCCGAGCGAAGCTTGCCGGGCAATACGTTTAATCTTCAAATTCACGCGTCGCAGGTGGATAACCCATTGAAAATGACCGTCGCGCGGGTTGAGGTCGAAGTGTTGGACCTGAATGACAATCTACCGCAGTTCGAGGTCGATCTTTACAACATCAGCATCGTGGAGAATCTGCCGAACGGCTTCAGCGTACTGCAGGTGATCGCGCGCGACAAGGACCAAGGCGAAAACGGGGAGTTCGATTATCAGCTGGAGGATTTGTCTGCCGCCTTCTCTGTAGACCCACAATCTGGCTGGCTCACCGTAAAGGACCAGACAATCTTGGACCGCGAGAAGCGCGATCATCTGAAAATGAAAGTCTACGCCGTGGAGCACAGGCCGAGCGTCGTTGTGACGGGTGATGAATCCAAAGGATCTTCCGTGGATGTTGAAATTACTCTCCTCGACGCTAACGACAACAATCCCATTTTCGTGCCAGGCAATCTTTACGAATTAGTGGCGAGGAGTGACGTGAAGGTCGGCACCGTGCTGGGTCAAGTGCATGCGGTAGACGACGATTTGGGTCCCAACGGATTGGTTCGCTATCGATTGCAGAAACCTGGCAACTCCACACTTCGGAAGCCGCCGTTCTTGGTAAATGAGAGCACGGGCCTGATCACGGTATCGGAAAGTCCGATACTCGAAGGTAGACACGCGATTTTCGTGGAAGCAGCTGATCAGCCGGCGAATCCCAGCGAGAGGAGATTCTCTTTAGCGGTTGTCACGGTGGACGTTTTTCGAGCGGACGGTAAGTTTGAAATTTAAGACAGAATTAATGAACAAACACTGTCTAATTTCAATGACAGATGTAATTGTGAGAGTCTTTGTTTGAAACTGAATAACAGTAAGCATCATTGTTTGAGTTAAAAACAATAGTTCTTAATAAAGGAAAAACTCTCAGATACCATCTATTGTTTTTTCACTGTTTAATAATATAATTACTATTTTTTTTAAAGGACAAACGAATAACTTAAATGCTCTTTAAAGAGTTTTCAATAACGGTAGATCCGTAATTACGTAGACATTTTCAATTGCCTGTAAACAGTGTAAACTATCACTGAGACATTATTCGAAACGTCCATGTGTTTCAGGTCCAAATTCGTGGGAACCAGATTTCATCGGCGCGCCTTATGAGTTCTGGGTCGGTGCGAATGTGCCCGTAGGTACCAGTGTCGGGCAGATTCGCGTAAACGACGCTGTTAAAACTAACGATCTTATCTACGATCTTCTACACGGCTACGAAGAGGGAGGTACGTATAAACGTGACAGCGATGGTGCGCGTTGAGTCAATTAATTCATAGCTCTGGCAAGAATTAAAAGCTACACACGTCGCGCGACGTTTCTTAACGGTCTAATAAACCCTCGCTCGCACTGGGGATATCCCCAGATGCGTCCTAATTTCAATACGCCTCCGCGGTCGGAAACACGCGATGCGCAAAATGCCTATATTATTCATGCAAATGCGTAACACATGCTGCATACATATATGATGGGATTTCAGTTCCATTTGCTGTGGAGGAGCGCTCAGGCACAATAACGGTTGTGGAGGAGATCGAGCGCTTTGACCGTTCCATATACGACTTCGAAGCGATCGTCAGCGACGAAAGGGAACTGACACTGATCACGAACGTTTCGATCCACGTGGTGGATCCGAATGACAATCGGGGTATCTTCACAAAGTGAGTGAAATTGCATAGCATCTAATTTGTTCTTAACGACTCTCATGACATTTTCGACGAATAAGAATCGAGCAAAATATGTGAAACACACACTTCCTTTTACATTTTCTTTAATTGTTGATTACGTTCTAGGAAGTTTCGCTAATTAACGTCTGACTGATTTGTTAGCTATTAGGTATTCAAAATATAAATTACTACTCTAGTAACATAATTTATTGACGCAATATTGACTTAATATATCTCGGATGCGTGCCAATGTTTAATCAATGTCTTACCAATAAATTGTGCTATTAGGGTAATAATTGTCATATTGTGTGGTTCTTTCTTGGCAAATTATATTATTTTCCACAATCTGATCTTTCGGTATCGCTATTAAGTAATATCCTTTGAGAGCCTTGTGCCTTGTCGCGTCTTCCAACGTATCTCTCTCACGAAATCGATACGCCAGATTTGCCGACTTCGTTGGACGCGTCGAAAGGTCAAAGGTCCGGTGACTTGGATGGCTACCCATTTGCTTATTCAAAAGTCAATGACCGTTGATTGCAGGGGAACGACCACTGCTCCTCTGATTTTCCATGTAAAAGAGAATGTTCCCGGCGCAATGATCGGCCAAGTGCTTCCGTATAATGGCACAACGGCGGCTATGTCCGGTACTCAGTTTCTTATCGTCAATCAGCAGGATGTGCCCGATATTGCCATTATGGATGACGGTTCTCTCTATGCTCCTCAAGGTTTGGATCGCGAGGCAAGGGAGAATTACAGTATCACCGTGATTGCCGAGAGCTTACGCGGCGTGGGCGTGTTTCAAGTAAGTTTGTCATTCGCAAATCGAGCCACGATCCGTTATTTGTTCATCTGTCGTTCTAATCGTTGGATTTACGACTCTAATCCTCAGGTGCGAATAGTCGTGGACGACGAAAACGATCACGCGCCGGAATTCACGTTGTCCGCTTACGAAGGTCGGATTATGGAGAACAGTCCTGCGGGAACGGAAGTTACTCTGACAAATCCGATTGCGGCGAGCGATAAAGACGAGGGCGAAAATCGAGACTTTACGTTTGCATTACAGGGCGACGGTAGCAGCCAGTTTAGAATCGATCCGATAATGGGCCAAGTGTACTTCGAGGGTATCGACGACAGTGTCCTGGATCGCGAGACAAGGCCGAACTACGAATTCCAAGTTATCGCCACTGACAGGGGTAAGTCCTCTGATAATCCTTATTTCTATTAATATCGGTTAAACATCCAAACATTTATTACAACGATTTTGTATTATCTGTATTAACTGTGAAGTTCTAAATTGTATTGTATGTAAAAAAAAACAAAAAAACTTTGAATCTTCCTCTGTCCTTTGTCATAAAACGGAGGTTCATTCTGTACTTCAAATAGGACGCTTTAAAATTTAAGTGTAATATCCATAGCTGTAATTGAAGATTAATAACTGTAGTTGAGGTTTAAGTTATAGTTTTTAAAAATTCAAGATATAATCAAAAATAAGTCATTTGTTTCTCGTACAGGCGGATTGCAGTCAGAGAGTACTTTGAGGATAACGGTGCTCGACGAGAATGACAATCCCCCGAAGTTCATACGGATGGTAGTCCTGCCGGATCAGGGTGTGCGCGTATCGTATAATCCAAGTGACGAGAATACATCTGCCGAGAAGGACGAGACAGAAGATGTAGAAGCTCAACCTGAAACTTCAGATGGTGAACGGCGCTCGCCGTTACTGTTGGTGCCGGAAAATACGACGATTGGCGTACCGATAATACGTCTGTTGGCGGACGACAAAGACGAGGGCGCGAACGCAGCGATAACGTACAGTCTAGGAAATGAGACAACTTCCAGTGGAGCTCGATCGCGTCGTTATGATGCGACTAGCCGTCGTTACTTCCATCTCGATCCACGCACAGCCGAGATATCTGTCGCTCGGAGCTTACCGCCGGAAAAGCATATTCGATTGTTCGTCTTGGCAAGGGACTCTGACGGTCTTACGGATAATATCACCGTCAGGGTCCACGTGACGGATGTGAATGATCACGCGCCTGTTTTCGACAAGTCCTGGTATACTTTCGATGTGGCTGAGGGCACTTATTCCAATTACGCTATCGGTACGGTGCAAGCGCTTGATGCCGATTTCGGTGAAAACGCTAATCTCAGTTACGAGCTGATCACTAGCCATGAGGATTCGAAACAAGTGAACAACGCGTCACGATCGTTCGAGGTAGATCCACATCAAGGAGTAATACAAGTGAGCGGGATTCTCGATCGAGAGAGAGCTATGACTCATCGTCTTCTCGTGATCGCTCGCGATCAAGGCTCACCAAGCTTGAGTTCCTCTGTGGAAGTGGAGATAAACGTATTGGATGTAAACGATAACGCGCCAATGTTCCACGGTTACGACGAGCTTGAGGAGGGTGATCAGTTGCCGGTCTATCGGGCTTCCATCTTGGAGAACAGTCCAATCGGCACGCAAATTGCCAAAGTATACGCAAACGATAGCGATTTCGCTGGCAATGGAAATGGGTTAATCCTATTTGATCTGAGCTATGAGGATCACGCGGACAAACAATATTTTGCGGTAGACAGTAAGGAGGGCATTATCACGACTATCGCTAAGCTCGACTACGAGACCAAGAATAATCATCGTTTGATCATCACGGCGAGCGATCTCGGTTCGCCGGTTAGTTTGACTTCCTCAGCTGTGGTCCTCGTCACGGTATTGAACGTTGACGATGACGACGAGGAGGCGGACAACGAGGTGCACAAGATGCCAACCTTCCGGCATCGATATTACGAAGTCGAGGTTGACGAGAACGCTTCCGTGCCGTTGCTGATCGCACAGCTCGATCTAACCGATGATCGGCATGGTGATTACATAAGATACAGCGTCGTGGCTGACGGTTCTGACAGCAGGGATCACTTCTCAATCGATCCTAAGAACGGCTCCCTATATCTGACGACGGAGATCGATCGGGAAGCCAGAGATCGGTATGAGGTGAAGGTCAGAGTCGACAGATTAAAGCTCGGCCGTGGCATGCCAGTGATGATCTATCCGGTCGTTGGTGAGAGGTTGAATGGACTCGCGCCTAATGAAGCTAGAGTGGTCGTCAGAGTGAAGGACGTGAACGACAACGCGCCCAGATTCAAGACAAAAGACAAGCCCATCCTCGCCGTTATACCTACTACTGCTCATTACGGTTACGAGGTCGTCAAAGTGGAGGTATGTATGCGCGAGTCAAAGCGAGCTCGTTTTAATCCATTTTGGTTTTTACATCGGTCTTTCTCTATCTTCTCTCTATCTTTTCGTATTTCGTTCTTGACATCTCCATTTACAGATTTTATTTAATTTTCTGAAGTGACTTCTCATGTTAAATTACTTTATCTTCGTCTATATACTGGTCGTTCTATTAATTGCAATTGTAACTTGAAATATGCTAATGAAACGAGTATCTGAATATCGCATCTGTAGTATTATATCTGAAGTAGAATTTTTATTAAGAATTGATGACTCTCGAGTTAAAGACTTGAAAACGCTTAAAAAATCAGCCATCAGCTTTAATGCTGGAATTTATTTGGATTGATTTGGAATTTATTTGATATCCGTTTGGCGAATCGCAGGCCGAGGATCCGGATCTGGGAATAAATGGTGAAATACGTTATCAAATTCTTGGCCGAGAGGACGCTCCGCGTTTCGCCATTGACCCACTCAGCGGTCAAGTGCGATCTGTAGCGAGTTTTGGCCGCGACGCCGGTCGCGTCTTCGGTTTCGACGTCAAGGCCACTGATAGACAGGGCGCCGAGAACGGTCGCAGCAGCATTACCAACGTCTTCGTAAGTTCACATTCTGTACTCCCACGTACGTTTTCACGCGGTGTATCTTAATTACTCTCCGTTAGAGATAGTGCCCGGACTAATTTCCTCCCCGCGAGGAAATGGGATGTTTCAAAGGACGGAAGCTCCCTCGCTCCCTCTCACTTCACTCGGCGCCGACCTTGACAATTTATCGTACCGTATCCGGTATATATTTCGCTTTTGAATCCGTAGGTGTACGTGTTGGACGATCAGAAGCAAGTCGTCATGGTCATGGGCCGGAAGCCTATCGAGATCGAGCCAGAACTCGAGAATATTACTATGTAAGTTCTGCTTCGTGATATTCGTAACAAGCATGACGACACATACTAATTGTTTTTCAGAGCGTTGCAGAATGTCACTGGTTTGGATGTACGGATAAGGAAGTTGGAGCCCCACATTGAGAAGAACTTGATCGATGCAGCCTCGTAAGTGATTTGTTCGACGAGTGATACAATTGTGATTCGATTGGTTGTTATATTTTGAATTACTTTTTTAGTACCGATGTTTATCTGTACGCGATCGATCCACATTTGAATGTTATGATAGACATGGAAACCTTGCACAGGTAATCAATCGTATTATTATCGAATGTAAAAGATATTTTTAATTCGTTCTCCTTATCTAATATAACTTTTATCGTTTAGTTTATTAATTAATTGAAAGTTTGTCCAACAATTTAATACTTTAAGTAAATCACTAAAAATTTAATTAAAATTTTATATAAATCTTCAAGTCAATTTTTCAATATTTGATATTCAAATGTACAATAACACAGTAATCTGATTTTTTAATAATACATATACGCGTGTCTTTTTAGCGTTTTTAATACCAAGAAAGCAGACATAAAACGCGAACTAGATGAATATCGTGTACTGGAAATCGCTGGTAACGCCCCACGCAGAGGTAGTCAGCGTTACTTGCTGTCCGCCCTCGAAGTAGGCGTCGTGGTACTCGCCTGCGTCGTCTTCGTAGGTGCCCTCGTAACCGCCCTGTGCATTACCTGTGTTCGTCGCAACAAACGGTACGCGGAATATGGTTTTGCTCGCTCGTCACTAAAGTCGCCTCGCCTAAGGTCAACACAACGCTTGTCTGCGTTGTCATACTAACTTCTGGATACAATATTGGCTAAAGGGTCTTATCATCTTCTTTTTCTTTCTTTACACTTTCGCATATCGAAAAGTCGAACTATCCATTAACAATTATTAATATATTTATTATATTATTCTATTTAAACTCATGGCGATGCTTAATTATATAAAAAAGGATTGCGGAATAAAATAATGGAATGGGGGATCGAATCCGATGTCTTGTTGGCATTTGATCGGCATCGGCTAATTTAAATGCCAATTCTTTTTATCTTCGATACAAAGTGCGCGTTCTGAATGGGAGTCTCGAATTCCATTCGTTAGTCGTAGACGACGAGACAAGGCCATGTTCTCGACGGTTGGTCCGGTCGGATTTGCTCTAACAGACCCCGCCGGCACTCTGCAAAAGCCACCGCTCTTTCCTACCTTCGTCGACGGTCTCCATTACGACCCGGAACCCTTCTGTACCGAGATGTCTAGGCGACAGAGCATGTGCGAGCACGGCAATTGCGTCCGCTTTCACACGTAAGTCTGACCTGATTAAAGATTATTAAATAGCGAGAAAATTTTGTGACTTTAACTATTTATGCCAGATATATTAATCTTCTTATGAGGACTCTATAAAAATATGTATTGAATTTAATTAATATTTATATACTAATTTTATAAGATTATATATTCTAAACTTAATTTTATTTTTTACGTTATAGGAAATCTAGATAAACTTCTTTGTTATCTATAACAGCATTTGACGCATTAACATTTATGAACACACAAGTTATTATTTTAATATTAAATATTTAATGTTAAATATTTTTTTATAATAAATTTTCTATTAGTATAAAATCTATTTACATTTTAATAAAGAAAACGCATATATATTCGTACAAGAATAATCTTCAATAACTCTTTTATGTACAAATAGTGCCATCAATATGTTCAATAGTTATGATAGTGGGTAAACTATAACGTTTCATATTTTTAATAAAAATCTGATTTTTCGAAGATATGCTGACGTTAGGAATATGAAATTGGAATATATTATGTAATCGGTATACTCGAAGGCTTGCACAGACTTATCTTTATAGACTATATATAGTATCGGGAAATTTCTGAGTACCTTACATAGATGCTACTACCACGGGCTATTTTCAGGATGGGCGGGGGCGGAAAACATGCGGTGAGGTCGACGGGAACCTTGAAAGGCCTCGAGGCATCCGCGACATCCCTGCATTCCAGTGGTCAGGACTCTGGTATCGTAGCGCGCACCTCTTGTCGTTGCAGTCACTCATCTAGCCCTTCTAGTGGCGAGAGCAGCAAGTAAGTTGGGTTTCTAAGTGGAAATTTTTGTCAGTCGAAACTTCTCCGATAAAAAGCTCGAATTTACTTACATCATGTCGAATTTGGTAAATGTTTTGCATTGTGAAATAAAGAAAAGTAATACATTACAGCAATATATGGAGTAATTATATATATTAATAATTATAAATTATAAAAATGTATGAAAAAAATAAGAAATACAATTATCATGTGCTTAAATAACATATTTTAATCGCTATATAACAAATTTTGCTAAATCCAATGTAACGTGTATATATATATATATATATATCTATAATTGTCCCAATTTATTTGACACAAGCTTCGTACTTCTCACCCTCCTCTTCCTGTGGCAAAAATTTCCTCTATTTTCTTTTAGCGGGTACGAAGACTCGCTCAAATCCCTTCAACGTCGCGAGAGATGCAATGACGTCTCCCGTGGCAGTCACGAAACCTCCAGCGTGGTCGGGAGACGTGCAACGGCGGCGAAACGGCGGCAGCGGTTTCACTCCTTCTCGAACGCCGAATCCGTTTATGCCCACGAAATGACCCTGCAGCGAGAGCAGCAGCAGCAGCAGCAGCAGCAGCAGCAACAGCAATAGCAACATTGCTGCATCGGCACGGCGAAGAGACAAAAAGCGGAACATCGCCGTGCTCATTCCGAGGCGGAGAACAATATCACGGAGACGGTGATACACGAGCACCCGGGCATGGAGATATCGTTAGTGGGCTCCCTGCCGAATACATCGACTATGCACGGTAGGTTCAATGTCGCCAAAAGCAAGAAGTACTATTGAAAATATGGGAAATAAATACAATTTTAGTGTTATGAAATAAAAGTATCAAAAATCTTACTGCCGTTTATTCAATTAAACGCAGTAACGATAATCCAACAAAATTGAACAGATAATCAATTCGCAGGTTCACAATCAAGGACCAGCCACATGCTCTATTAGCAGCACCGATTTGTAAAAAGAGGAGGAGCTTCCAAGGAGCACCGAGATACAGCGGTTATTTTTATTCGACAATTTAACGTTCCCTTTTGTAAATTCGCGTATAAATTGCTGTTGTACCTCGCGTGCTCATGGCGTGTCATCTCGTTGCCAAAGTCTTCGTACGTCGTCACAAACCAGAGAATCATTCATTCTGTAAATATACGGCATCGTCTTTGGTATTCGATCTTCCATGTTCTTTTTGACTAATCGAGATAGATTAGGTAACGGCGTGACAATTGTTGTTAAGATTATTTATCGCGCTAATGTTACAACATTAATATATTACAGATGCAAATGTTTAAGTACAATATTAATATATTGCATATTAAGATAATTTGTTGTAGATTATGTACAGATACATTTGCGGTAAGTCCATTTTGCGGTGGATTATTACCTTGACGTGTTAGCTGAAGATTTATTTAATATATCTATACGTAGTATGTACGTTTGTGTAAAATGTAACATAGTGTAACATACGTGTAATTTATGTCTTAATTAAGCTGTCTTTTCTTATTTGATAATATGTCGTAAAATGTTTAATATTATAGGTAATAAATTTTCTCTGCTTTTATTCTAACATGTTGGCTATTAATTAAAATTTATTAATGATAAACGTACCTATCTTTGAGACAAAACGTCTAAATGTATTATAAAAAGTATATTATAAATAAAATGATTTTAAAATTAATAAATTACTTTTTATGTACTTTTTGTTGATTTTTTTATGAATAAATCACTTTTAATCTTTATTTATGTCCGTTTCTTTAACCATTAATATATTTATTGTTTTAGATATTAACTTATATATTTTTTTACATAATAATTATATTTAGGATGTAATCTATGCTGTAATTTTGGAAGATTTTGGAAAATTTCTGTTCGAGTAATTTCCTTTCGACTTTTGAAAAATGGAATATGATTCTTTCAGTTGTAAAATTTGTTTAAGTATTTACTTGATTTTAATATTATAAAAGAAATCTTTCGAAATCAAATTATAATTAATTAAAATTTTGTATGCTATAATTATAGCTTTTTTAATGGGTTGAAATAGCTGCTGTGCATTCACGGGCGCAATCACGGCCGTCGTCAAACCTGACCTTCGAAGACTCGTCAAAATGCCGATATCCCGCAATTCCTCTCAAAGTCCTCCCTGATGTCTGAGGAATTTCTCCACTTAATTAAATCAGCGAGGGTGTTTTAATTACGATAAATCAAATCAGCGTGCAGAAGCGTTATTAATTCCTCTTTAAAGGGAAATATCGGGAGAACGCTGTAAATTATTAATAATGCTGCCAGCGTGAGTAAAGTCATTTCTGATCGTCTTTTTATTACGATTTGCTTTAGATGATGGACGATTGTCCATCCATACCCGTTTTTAAAACGCGACAAAAACGTTCTCCCCCTTTTGCTTTCCACGGCAAAAACAATAACCAATACCATTTACGAGAAAGACGGTCTGTTGCAAGAAGTTCTTTCTCAGTAATCACAAAATCGTCAACTTTTTACGTAATTACAGTAAGTAAAGTTTAATTCCGCCAGATAAATAATCAATAATATCGTTTTACAAACGTCACATTTTCTCAAAAATTATCTTTTTCAGTTGTTATATCTATCTTATCTTTATAATGGATTTATTTATACATGTAGATTTTAGATGTTTATTTTAATCATATTGGAGGATTTGTCGACTAAACGTGGCTGCAGGTCCAGAAGGATGTTCTGCGGGTGCCTAATACGTTCGGTAAATAAGTTTTAAGCGCCCGATCGACCACTCAACTGAATCAAATTATGTCATCGATTATGGGATCAGGCGCACGGTTTAAAAGGTCACCGATTAACATTGATGATCTCGACCTCAAGCTAGGAGGATCCAGAGGCAATATTGACGATATATGGGAGACATCGCGTATCTCAAGAGTACAGAAATCACGGATTCTGACGAAAAAAGTGGGAAGGATTCTGTAATGCGCGTGACATGGGATTTAGGTATCTAATATTTCACTCAAGTATTCGAATAACGTTCTTATAGGAGCCCAGTTGATGAAACAATGCGGTCTCACAGTCAGTTGTTGAGCAAGGCCGTGACCTTCGATTCTGCGATCGGAATTTTCATTTTCAGCGTATCTGCTTTTCTTTCATTTATTCACAACTTTGGAGATCTGTCACTTTTCTCCTTTACCATTGCGCTAAACGCTAATCTGCTTAGAAACATCTGTAGTAAAAATGTTCTTTTTTAGCAATGAGAATATCATTAACTTTTTAACGTAGTTATAATATAAAGTTTAATTACTTCTTCTAAAATAAACACTCAGTAATCATCATTTAAATTTTACCAATGTCTTCTCTTAATAATTTCTTTACATATTATTTTGATAGTTTATCTTATTTATTCGTGTCACTGTGTAATGATATTAAATTCGAGAGCCTATTAAGGGAACTGGCAAATTAAATTGAAATTCTTGACTTTTTTTTATGACGAACCGAATAACTGTACGAAAGTAAAATTTAACCTAAATTTATAACATAAAAAAATATATTTTTTATTGACACAAATATATATATATATATATATATTGTATGT